TTGGGACAGGACAAGGGGGGATGGTTTTAAACTAAAAGAGAGAGACTTAGACTAGAGAGAAGGGAGAAATTTGTGATGCTGAGGGTGCTGAGCCCCTGGCCCAGGTTGCCCAGAGAGGTGGTCACTGCCCCATCCCTGGAATGTCCCTGCTCCCTGCAGGGGGGTTGAACTCGATGACCTTGGAAGGTCCCTTCCCACCCAACCCACTCTGTGACTCTGATTGCTCCCCCCTTCAATTCAAGCAGCCTCATCCCCTTCTCTCCCCAAGCTCCCAACACACGAGGAGCTGATAACATCCTCACTGCAACCCTGCCAGGTTCTCCCTCCCAAAGCTCCCCTGGTTCCTCCACTGCCCATCCTGGGCATCCCAGCAGCTCCCCTCCCCACCAGCCCCAGCCCTGTCAGCACACAGCAAGGACCTCATTGGTATGGAGCACCACCAAACCTTCAGATCCCCTTCTGCTCCATTTAAACCCCAGCTATTAGGAATCAATACCTGTTTATTGTCACTGCTTGCTAAATAATCGATGGCACTCAGAGGAAATATAAAAATAATTAACGACTAATACGTCTCCCATTTAAATAAGAAAACGTCCTTGGGTGGAAAAAAAGAAATGAAACCTCACAGGAAGTGCAAAAGGCTGGATTAAAACCATCCCAGGGGAGAAGGAGATGGTTTTAGTGGCACAGCAGATGTGTTGCAAGGAGAAGCCACTGAAGGGCTGCAGCTTTTCCCAATGTATTTTCCCTGCTGGGCACGTCCTGCAAATTGGGATAGAAAGGCACAGCTCCCAGACTGGTGAAATGGACCCTCTTGGCAGAGTGAGGCATTATTTGGGATGATAAAGGTGAAAAAAAAAATAGAAAATTCATCTGGAATGGTATAGAAGTCGCTGAACTGAGAATAGTTTTCTTAAATGAAGAGTAACATCTTGAAAACTCAATGCCAAACAGGCTGCTGCTGCTTGGAAGGGCCAAGGAAGGAAAGTTATTGCATTGGGCTGAGCCTCTGGTGTGTTCAGGGCAAGCACAGAACCATGGAATTGTTCTGGTTGGGAGAGACCTTCAAGATCAACTCAAATCACCCCCCCACCCCTGCCAGGTCCCCACTGCCCCGTGTCCCTCACACCACATCTCCACAGCTTGGAAACCCCTCCAGGGGTGGGGACTCCACCACTGCCCTGGGCAGCCTGGCACAGGGAAGAAATTGTCCCTCAGGACCAACCTCAACCTCTCCTGGTGCCCCCTTTAAATGAAAGGTGCAGAACCATGGCAGAGCCCACCAGGAACCTCCAGAGATGGAGGTGGTTTAGTTTGATTTCTGCCTTTTTTTTTTTACTACCAAAAGAGGAATCCAAGCTGTATGTTCCACAGGACTAAAGACAGCAAATTGCCAAGTGAAAGATGAGTTTGCAACACCAGGACACCTGCTTTGGCACACACTGCAGAGAAGCACCAAGAAGGCTCACTAATAATTCTGGAAAAACACCAATTGCTCTATTTTATGGCTCAACTGCTGCCTGGGAGGATGATTCTCTCCAGCGTGCTCTGCTGCCTTCTCCTTCAAGGAGACAGCTTTGTGAAGCTGGTGTGATGGCAATGATGGGCTCACGAGTCACTGTCACTTGGCTGACACAGGAGGAGAGATCTGTCCCTCCCAGCATGGTGGTGGAACACCAGGCAGGTCTTCTAGTGCTTTATGACCTCCTTACACTCCAGAATATAATACACATTTCATAGAAACCCAGAGTCCCAGCAGGGTGGGGTTGGAAAGGGACCTCTGGAGATCATCTCATCCCACCCCCTGCTCCAGCAGCTCACCCAGGGTCACAGCCAGGAGGGTTTGGGATCTCTCCAGAGCAGGAGACTCCATAGCCTCTCTGGGCAGCTGCTCCAGGCTCTGCACCCTCACCCCAAAGAAGTTTCTCCTCCTGTTCAGGTGGCACCTCCTGGGTTCCAGTTGGTGCCCGTTGCCACTTGTCCTGTCCCTGGGCACATTTTTGTATACTTCTAAAACCCAAGGACTTTCACCTTGTATCTGCACCAAAAGCAGACACACCCATTAGTAAGATGAGCATCTTCTAATTAGCAAAAAATGTCCATTCCTTGACATGTCTTATTTACGTTGCCAAAACCCACACGTAACTCACTCAAAAGCAAAACACACCAAAAATGTGCTAACTGAAAAAAAACAACCCCACCACCAATCTCCCTTCTCCTTCTGAGAAGTTCTTCTATCAACTCAGGAGTGATTTAAGATAAATCCAGAGAACAGTTTCATATGATGAAATAAAAATGAAGATTCTGAGCTTTTCATGGCCAAACACCAGCTACAGGGGCTCGGAGACAAACAGCCTGCAGTTTCCAACATAAACCCCCTTATCACTCCCCAAAATCAGACACTATTTCTGCAACTAAAGCACTGTGTGATAGTGTGTTGCACTTATTAGGTGGCAAAAGATTAAGACTGTGTTGTTTTACCCTCTAAACTGACCTGTAATGTATGCCACAGGCATATTTTAGAGGGGAAGACAGAGGATAATTAACCCAAATAATGTTGCAAACTCTGTCCAGACACTAAAGAAACAAATATCAATTTTCCTGTAGGAGATATCCATCAGAATGTTATTACAGATAAAATTAATCCTGCCATGAGATACTTCTCCACTTGCTGTCTCAGGGAGGCTTTGAAGAGAGGCAGAGGTTGAGAAGCAACCTCAGACTTCACCTCCAACCCCCCAGCACAGAAGAGGAGGAATTCAGCTGTAAAATGATTGAGGTACTAGAAGAATTTTGACTTTGAAAACGTTTTTCCTGTGAAAAATATAAACCCTGCTACATTACAGCTCTTCTTTGGCCTAAAAATTAAACATTCCTGGGAAATCTGGTCTTTTTTTTACTAATCCATGAGCACCACTGGGGCAGAGCAAAGCTGGAGATGATTTAACTTCTAGGAGTCTGTATGTACAAAAAGAGGCATTTTTGAACCCAGAACTAAACACCTTCATTAAATAAAACCTTCTATTCACACTGTTTGCAAATTTAAATATTATTTTTCCATTGACATTCAGCATATGAAGACCAGACAAGTGGGTCAGCCACCAACCTCTGTTCTGGAGGCATCTTCTGAACATCCACTCCCTACCAACCAGGAGTGTTGCCAACAAGGA